AGGCAGAAGGAAGCTGGTTTATGTCACGTCTGTCACAGCCTTGCAGCTCCTGGCCCCGGCAGAGCTCAGGAACTGTTTAACCCCTCCTGACTTATCTGCAAATCAGACTCCTCTGGGCTGGCCTGGTGGCTCCGGTCTGCCTCTCTCCATGCTGGGCTGGAAGCCCCAATTGTCATGTGAAAAATCACACTCTTCTCTCCCTTCCTCCTTTGAAAATATTTCATTGCTTTAACAGAACATAAACAATTCTGAACTATTTTGAAGTACATTTTTTTTTTTTTCAGAGGGCTCCTTTGAGTAATGCTGACTGACTTTGCTTGCTTTTACCACTGAGCTCCTCTTCCTTCCCTCTGCTCCAGCTTGGCCTCTGGAAGGCTGGTGGGCTCCACTATTTAGGGCCCCAAGGGTTAATCCAGCCTTCACAAATACAGTTCAAATAGTTTTGGTTTTTTTTCTGACAAAGACATTCCTCCATCTTCTCTCACAGAGTCAGGAAGCATGACATAGATATTGTCAATAAAAAGCTGTGAGTTTATCAAGTTTAAGTATCAAATCCCAAAAGCCATGAAAATGGTGAGGTTTTCTATTTGCTTATTAAAATGTTTGCAGTATCTGTAAGGAGAAAACTCCTGTCACCAGAAAGGGCTGTGTAATTTCCCACAACATTAAACAGAATTAAGTGAGGTTCTGTCCTATGAAGACACAAAAAACAGGGAGGGAAACTTCTGTTCCATCTCTTTGATAGAGTTGCCTCATTTAAAAGTCTTTTTGTTGATATATTTATAAAATTTGGCCTCTTGGGCTTAAAATACTCTGTTTTTTTCTTTTTGGTATAGCTTGCTACAAGGACAAACCCACTCAAAGCTGTCTGATCTGGAGTGCTCCCTGTTACTGATGCTTTCTCCCTGGCAGACCCAGTCTGGTCTCTTTCTGACAAAGCACTGCTCAAGGATCAGAGAAATGTATCCTTTTGGTGAAGGTGGGAGTATTTTCCCAAGCATCCCTCACTCTTCACACTTGTCTGCATACACACTATGCAGGTTAAAATTCCCTTCGAAGAGCTCATCTCCTGAGGGCTCAGTCCTCCAGGGAAGGCTCCTCTATCCCACTGAGGACGTTTCTCAACCATGCCTGTCCCTTGGGAGGAGCCTCTTGTGCTTCACAAACAGAAGGTAAGAGCCAGACTCTGCTGGAGAGTGTGTGGGGATAAAACGAGCATCACCAGCCACTTGTGGAACAATGGATTTTCTGACTAAACACAAAGATGATTTATTTATTTTCTTGAGGGTAGTAAAATACAGAAACAACATGCCCACATAGGTTGTGGCACCTCCACCCTTCCAGATACTGGGCACTTAACCTCGAGAGGTCTACTCCAGAAGTATTTCTGGAAATCAGTTCCACAATTCTACTAGATGACTCACAGCACAGAAAGCTGCACAGTAACAAGTGGAGACCATGTGAGCTTGACTTCCAACATAGCCCTAACTGATGGAATGTCTTTGCTATTAGACATGTTCTACATTTACCTTTAAATAACTACTTTAGCAGAACAGGATTCTACAGAACGTAAATTTTGTAGCTTGTATTACGGATCTTCTGTGACAACATGAAAAGGTTTTTTTTTTTCCCTGATACAGAGGACAGGATCAAATGGACACTTAAGTATTACAGCCTTCCACTAAGGCAAAAGCATGATCCTAACAGCAATGCTGTACCAGAATACTCCATCAAAACCCTTTCTCTCACTAATCACACACAGTAACATCTGTGCAAGCCAGTTGGCTCTGGACAGCTCCTGTGGTTCTTGAAAGACTATTTCTTGGCAGGTTGTGTTTTTCACTCTAATTGAAAGGTTAATCAAATCAGTCATACTTGTATGTTGGCTAAATAAACATACTGTCTTCACTGATCATGAAACAGATGCATTATCACTCATGTTTCCCATGGGGTTCATTTGTTCCATGATCACATTTGGTTTTCCTCAAGTTTCTCTATGCAGTATCTGGCAGCATTTTGGATAGTTTTTGTAAGGAAATTTACCTTGCAGATGCTACTGCATTCACATCTTAACTCTTAACAGCTCTTGGCAAAGGTATTACATATCCTCAGCACTGCTTCACTGTAGAAAACGTGGAGGAAGCCAAGCCTACAAGAGGCTGAGAACTCCTCACAAGCATAAATGCATTATGGAGTGGAGCAGTCTACACTGCTGAGGCTCAAACTGCCAACACATCCAAACCCGTTTTCCCCCTGCCTCCCACCTGCACCAAGCTGCTGTAGCAGGTCTCTTTAGCTCCTAGGACACGGTGGGGCAATATCAGCCTTGGGCCTGATTCTGTGCACAGCTGAGCTGACTCCTGACACCTGTGTCTCTCTGAAAGCACCATTTAAACTTGGGTAGGACAACGCATCTTGGAAGGCAGGCAGAAGACTTGCTGAGTGCATGACAGGTACAAAATATGCATTCAAGTTAAGTTCTGTGTACCACAAAACTGCCAAGCATTCAAAAGCTGCAACAGCTGATAAATGTTTTAAAGGAAAAGGCACTTTTCCTTTAGGAAGGAAAAGGCACAAAATCCTCCTGCCACTTGGTAACAAGTACGATGAAGAAAATCTCTTCATTCAAAGAGATTAAGAGATTCAGATCGTTTCAGTATTACATTCTTAAGTGAGAAAAAGGTGCATTTATTTCTCCAGTAAAAATAGTATTCATGCAATGTATTACAACGTTCTTTAGGGTGGAATTAACTTTGTTTTCTGTGTTCTGAAAGATTCAGATAACTAAACTACTTTGTTGAACTGTTGAGAGATGTGTCTCTGCAGGGCTCTTTAAGTCAGGTTTCAGAGATTTTCTCTCCCTCCACTGACAGGGAGACCAGACTTGCCAGGATACACATCTGAACAATTTAAGTAATTTGTATCACAACTTACCAACCAACAGTTAACTCCCACTGCAGTCCCTCCTCCTTTTTTACTGTTTTTAAAGTTAAAGCACAAAATCATATCATCAATTTCCAACCTTAGGTCTCCACATTACACACTTTTCCTTCATCTGTCTCATAATGAAAAGGAAGCTACACTTCAAAGAGCTGAACATCACACTAAGAATAAACACAGAACCCTGCCATAAGTAAATAGCATTTGTGAAAAAGTACCATTTCCTCCCATCCTCACCACACCTTCTGAACCTTTCATTCACTTAAAACCATGGTGACCAAAGTGCAACATTCTCATTTATCTCACTTTGCCACCTTACAAAAGTCACAATGGTAGAAATGTTACCATTCCTGTGATCCTCAGGTAGCCCTCTCTGCTCGCAAAAGAAGAGCCAAGCACAGGAGCAGCTCAGGACACGGACACAGCTGAGGAACCAGAGCCAGCAATGAAAGGCAACAGGCACACAGTGACCTCTGTGGGACCTCGCTCATCTTAACATTTACTACCACTGTGTTCTTACAGCAGCAATTTGTCACTCACTTAAGCACTCTGTTCAACCAAGGCACTGGGAGAAAGGCAACAGAATCAGTGAATCAAGCACCAGCTGGATTTACACTTAAAAGCCACAGCACAAAAGAGATTTGAAATCAATAATTTCCCTGATGTGGGAGTGCAGATACTCACTTGCCTATACAGCATCAGAGCTGAATTGTCTTGATGATCAGAAAGAAAATAAATGCTTTTAGTATCACTTTTTCATCTGCTGGAATCTAAACCGATAAAAATGGTCAAATCAGTTTATTAGAACTGTGTGTTTTAGGAAATACCACTGAATATAGATTCAGGAGACTGGTTTTTTAATATTTATTTAGTAAAACTCACTATACAAACAAAAAGTTATCACAACAGTGGAATATGCAGGGTTATAGTTTCTCCTTCAAGCAGCTTCTCTGCTTCAGTAAAAACACATATATACATTTACAATTATTTCCCTTTAAAGCACTGGGATTCATATATTAAAACATACCTGGTAAAATAAGCTTAAAATAATTTCACATTGCTTGGAAAAAGATTTGAGTAATTTACTCTTACCAGAGTGCCATTGTTGCACAGTATTCAAAAAAATGAACGACCACTAAAATATAGAGTAAAACATTTAAAAGTACATTTATTTCAAATGTGGGCAAAATATCAATATAAAAGAAAATAGAGTATAAGAAATAAAAATAAAGTACAAAACATTTTCATCTTCGACATCCATAATTTAATAGATAGTAAGCCCTTCTATTTTTACATCCAAATTACACTTTTGGCTGAAGTACCATAATTTATTTTAAAATGCTTAAAAATGGGCTCATCATACCTAAAATGGGCTCTTTCAAAATGGTAGTATAATACAAAACATAGTAAATTATGTTTCAGCATAATAAAATTACACATCCTAAAAAAGATGCAGTTTATTTTTGCTTTCCTGCTTTAAACTGCTCATCATCCCTAGGAAAACAGCTGGAAAACAGCATCCACAGGAAGTTCTAGTAGCTTTGTACAATGGCTGAACTGCTAGATATAATGCTCCAAGGATTCCAGAGCAGTAAGGCATTTTACTATCCATCAAGTAAATTTATATGTAAGTTTGTTAAGGAAGAACAACTGTAAGAAATGACAGCAAAATACAAGTTCTATAAAAAAAATGCATAAAGACACAGAGGCGTTACTGGTCCCTCCACTGCATTTATCAAACAGGGCCTACAGTCTTCAAAAAAGCTGCTTCCCTCATCTGAAAGTAACTTGTGTCAAATATTTCCCTTAGTGGCAAGTTCTTTCCCCATTGCCTAATATTCTACTATTTACTAATATTTACTACTCTTTTGTGACCACCATGCCTTCCTTCTCCTTTGCAGTATTTCCCATCAAAAAGTAATTCCACGTTGAATTTAAGCTACTTTCCTAGGTGTTAAACTACCAGCCTACCAAGCAAACATTACATATTAATTCCTAATTAAGAAAAACTTTTAAAAACCATACTCCCCTAAGCAGCAAAATGTCTTTACACAAAAAGGATATGATTCATAATCCAGTGTTTGAGTAAGCACTCCAGTCAGGACAAACTCAGCATTGTGGACATCTGGAAATATCAAAATTCATACAGTTCACACCCTACACAGAAATTCTGCCTCATTCTGCAGAATGACACACCTGACACTGCTCCTGGCACTGTTACTAAATACAGCACTTCTTGGGGCTCTACACTAAAGTGAGAATAACTAAAGTGAAAACCCCTAACTCCCTTGTTAAATACTGAGATGGTGCCCTGGTAGCTGGTACAGGACTGTGCTCTGAAATTAGGATGAGAATAATGCTGGTAATGCACTGACGTTTCAGTTGTTGCTAAATTCAAAAACTTATGGTGCTCTGCTTATAAAATAACTCTTAGATATATCCAGCAAACAGCTGGCTTGGATTTCTCCATAGTCTGCAGGATAGTCCATGTACTCCTCTATTAGTATCTGAAAACTTCAAAAGATCTCTGTATCTGTATAATAATAATAACTGGGAAATAGAAAAAAAAATCTTAGTAACAGTTATACTGTTCAATCACAACAAAAGCTTATACCTACCTATGCCTCGTGCAAAATATTCTCGACATAAATGAAGGTCATTTTCACAGGAAATCAAGATTATCTCTGGCAAACTCTAAAGGAAAGAAAGTAATGATTAGCTCAGAAGAACATGGCAAGGTATTATAAATAAATTTTACAAAGCAACACTCAACACACTTTATTCTGCTTATGCTCCATGAGTTTTCGAAAAGAAGGTTGTTTAGATAATACTTTTCCTCCTGCACACTCCACAATAGCTTTCATGGTGGAAAGACTGGGACAAATTCCAGGTGTAATGTAAAAATATTTTCCCTAAAAAGAGAAAAGGAAGAACAAGAAAAAGCATTATTATGTTAACTGATTTCTGCAACACATGAAGTTTTAATGTCATGTGACACTTCTTTTATACAGCAGGGCAGGCTTTGTAAACTGGGGTTGGGCTTATGGACAGATTCATCAGTTGATGAGATGTCCTTAATTACTGCTGATGTTTCCCCTGGAGGGGCAAATGCACAATTTTGATGAATTTGAACAGTTCAGGTGTGCCAATTTCCACATCTGTAAAGTAACAACTGCAGCTTGGTAAGACACATAAGAACAATGCTCCTCACTTCTTTGAGCACAGGGACATCTCAAGTGTTACAAAAAGAACTTTTATCTTATAATCAACACCAAATTTATTACTTCCTGATAAAAAATATTCTACTAATTGACTGAGATTGGTGACCAAATCACAAAGTAGATTATCTCTCTTTATCAGCTAGGGAAAAAAAACCAGAAAACATCTTGCTATTTAATCTGCAAAACTGAGAGCAAAATGTAGCATTTAGACATAATAGAAGACATAGATCCTTATTCATTACAGGTAGAAAAAATACTTATTTTAGGTGGTTTACCCCCAAACAGTCTGCAATTCAATTAGGCTGAAGAATCTTCAGCAACTCAGATATCCAGATGCCTCTCTGCACTGTAATGTAATTTTAACCAGAGGCATGAAAAAAACTTGCACCATCCTAGCAAACAGCTGAGTGGAAATGCAGTGGAGATTCACAATAGAATTCCCTGAGGCTGAAGGGCAAACTCACCCTCAGACTCCCATTTTTATGGGCAAGTGCTCTGACTATGAGGCTGGTGTAAAAAAGAAAAGAGAGAACAAAGAAAAGAAGTGGCTTTTTACAAGTAACAGAGCAATGTTCTAAATTTTGGAAGTGAACAAATATACTGAGACTGTTTGGTTATCATCTACAGGATCCAGTCATTCGGAGGGTTTATATCCACCCCAATGCTTAGGCAGAAAACAGACATAAAATGAAAATTGACAACAAATGTTTCATGTTATATGCCAGCTTGCTCTACTGCTTTCAGCTATAAACCTGTGGTCCCAATGATGGAAAAACTAGGTTGAAAACTCCCAAGTATTTAAATGCTGTGATAAACTGCATACCTTGAACAGTGGAGCTACTTGTGCTCTCTTTAGAGACTCCTCTAAACTAAAGCAGAAAAGAACCTCAGCTTCAGCATCTCTGAGCACAAAGTTCTGCTCATCTGAAAAAGAAAGACTGATGATGTGGCACACAAAACACAGACATTCCCATGGCCCAGGAGGGAATCTGAGCAGAATATCTTGGTGGCAGAGTAGCTCTGAATGGCAGATACCTTCTAGAATTAAACAGGATTAAAACTTCCCTCTTCATTAGGCTTCTTACACAGATGACTACCAAATACTTGGAGAATTAAACTATGTTTTACACTTCCATACCTAACAACAATCACTGTCTTATCAAGTGCCTTTTTCTAACTTATCAGAGCTACTTGCAAATTTTTATTTTTTGATTCTCTGCAAAGGAGAATGATCAAGCAGAAGGATTAAGTTTAAATTCAAATTACTGTGACCACGTATGGGAGCCCAGAAACTCTCTTCAAGTCCTCATACAGTATTAACAGAAAGAACTTTCCATCTGTTCCATTTGTCCTGTTATTCACCCATTTTTTTCTTTTTTTATTAGGGATGGAATTTCAGTCTTTATCTTTCCAAAAAAGCTATGTCAAACACATTTCTAAATCAAATTTAATCCAAAACCCCTAAGTCTAAAAAACAAAACAAAAAAATTATACAGAGAACAAATTGTTCTTTCCAAGGACAATTCTGACAACTTGCAAGGGACAGTGTTAATACTCTTCCAAGGGACAAAAGAAACAATTAAGACAATTTTTGTAAACAACTGCCACATTTTCCATCATTTCAGCAGGTACAAAACTGAAACCAGCCCATTAGCTACAAATCAACCTAATTTCAGTAAATAAGTAAAGTACTTCAAGTACTAGATCACAACAGTCATCTTAAATCCCCCTATTTTTTTCATCTTCTAAGGGTTTTCAAATTTATCAGTTTCTCAGTTCACTGATGCTCAAATAAGGAAATTACCTTCTTGGGATTTTTAGAAATATTTGCTGGTTTATTAATTAATGATCCATAAATTCAAATCTTTATAGTGGTTAGCCAGCGATGTTATACATTTTCTTCTTACAATCACATAAAATGCAAAAAACAATTCTAAACCAAATAATCACCCTTTCAGAAAGGGTGAATTAAAAAATAATGCACTCACAGGTAAAAATCTACAAAATGACTACCCAAGAAAAAAATAAAATACTTAACAATATCCAATCATTTAATG